GGGGAATAGGCAAACGTGTGGAGAGGGAGATCTGACACAAGAGGACAGATCTAACCACCTAAGCTATTCTGTAAATGTGTATATTCCCTGTTGTAAACCAGGGTAGAGAGATTTCCTCAAGTCAAAAGTAGCACCCGGCGACGGTAGAAAGTTGGAAACACTGTCATTGCGAAAAAGAAATTGAGGCAAAAAATCTGCCGGTGGAGGGGGAATAGAATCGAGTAAGTTTGACTACCCTCTTCTATTTATGGTTGTCTTTCGTCTATACAAAGGTTGCTCAAGAATTAATGAAAAAACTAACCCCTAGTCAATTTAGTGTTAACAACTGAGTTGAAAAAATAAATTACCCACCGGAAAGAGTTAAAGGCTAACGTTTTGAGCGTTAGCCCCTAGTCCCCCCCACTGACGAAGGGATAACGCTCAAAACTTCAGCCTTTCAACTCTTTACGGTAGCTAATTTACGTTTTCAAGTCAGTTGTTAACACCAAATTACCTGTTATACTCTCCCACTGACGAAACTTACCCCCTTAACTTTTTGTCAATTCTGACTAAGCGAACAGGCAGACAGGCCGACAAGTAAAACGCTAAGCTGGATATACATGTGGGTTTAATAAAGATAAATGAGTGAATATAATAAATTAAGTTACTGTGATGTTTCGAACGTTAGCCCTTTGCCTTTTCTAAGGCGTCGCATCATTTCTTGAGTTCGCCGTGTTGGTGGACCTATCTTCATGATTCCATCTTAATCTTGAGCTCCATCAGCGATACCACGAAAAATATTAACATTACACCAACGATTGCAACTTAATATAAATCGACTGACTTTAGGATGTTTATCTTTTTTGTCTTCCCATTGATAGGAAGATAAAATGAAAGGTATCTTGTTAAAAGGAAGACAAAGGTCTATTTAAGCAAAACCACTTCGACTGTAACAAAGAAAGCCTTTCGCGAACAAAACAGTAATGAGTTGTTTATTCATCGCTTTAAACTCAAGGGTTTTAGGCCCACTCCGAAACTCAGCCAGTAAATAAAAATGTTTCGTTACACTTACCTTTTTCGAGTTGTCTCCCTAACAATTAACTCGTAAAAATACTTCTTGGATGGCAAATTAATTTGCGATGGGGGAATATGACAAATAGCTAAAAAGAGTTTTGTCTATCCAAGCATATCAAGAGAGTAATGGCCATGGCATGCAGGTATAATGGCCGACAGTGATCACTTTTTAATGTGGGAACCATGAGATTCTAGCGCTCTGTTTTAACTTCTTCTTACCTAATGTAATAGACTCGACGAAGCAGTAAGTTGAAAACGTCTAAAAGTCACTGGAATTAACGTTAAACAAAAGATTTTAATTGAAACCTGTCAAACCTGCATTGCCCTGAAGTCAAGTTGTCACGTATCGTTAGCTAGTGAAACAGAATTCTCTTTGGACAGGTATTTGCTCAAAGTAATCGCAATTGATAACAGCTTTGGTCTGCTTAGTTAATGCCATTATTATTGTCGCAAAAGAAATTGTTCCTTAAGTTTGCTTGCATTTAAGTTATAATGTTTAAGACTGTGCTATGCCTTAATTGAGCTGGAAGAGGTGATTATAAAGGTTAGAGTAATAGCGTCATAAGACCGCGCGACCGGTAACTTGCGCGTAAGAGGCAGGAAAAAGTCGTATTGATTTGCGCGTAAGAAGCAGGGAAAAGTCATTTTGACAATGCTTTTCAGGTAAAAAGGAGTATTTTGGTAATATTGTTTGTCCCTAGGATACCAGTTTTTCCAACAATAAGTCCACAATATTTAAACTGGTTTTAGTTCTCATTCATCATTATATCTTATATCCTTGAAAAAGTGGCAGGGAAATATTTTGAGATCAGTTTGTCTCTTGAGCTTTTCGATTGTTGTCCATGACCCTGGGGTGTTTATATAAGAAAATCGTTCTCTTGCTTGGAGTGTGGGAAATAAAATTTCTTAAGGACATAACAATTTCCGACAATATTTACGTGGCTAAATGCGTTTTCAGGATCATTTAGGCAAATTTCAGTAGTTTTCAAAAGAGAAATGGTATGGTTAGAGTTGGAACAAGATTGCACTTGCTGTTCTGATCAATCTACGCTGCATAAAACAGAGTAAGTCCTGAATCAATTTTTCGAGGCCACAGGAGTTAGAGGTGTTGGTATTTTTCTATAGCAGTGTACCACGTTTGATTTAATTTCTTTTATGCCAGGTTTTTATTATCGTTATAGATCGTACTTTTTTTCTCAGATCTTCCTATGCATTTTAAAGCCACCCTCCGAGGTTTACCTTCTTGCAATACTGTTCAGGAAAAAAAAAATATATAACTACCTGTGTCACGTATTCGGATCAACCAGGTATAGTCATGTCAGTCACTACATGTAACATGACTCATCTAGTCTCTCCCTGGGGCACATGTCCGTGATTTATGGCGATTTCTTTCTAATAAAGAGTCTACACCGAACAACCTCTGCATTGTCAGTGATTTGTCTGGCTTTGGTTTTTCAGTTACTGTTTTTATTGTTTTCTCTTTTGTGTTCATTCCACCTCCGTCAACAACTGAACACAGAGGTAAAGCTGACGAGAGTTGAGACCGCATAAAAAAATTTTGTGCTTATCCAAGCTGAAATTTAGAAAAAATAATTCGATTAATGTTTTCCACTCAGGGAGCCAGCTTTGCCTCAGGGAGCCGGTGTTAGGGAGGTAAACTTAGGGATAGATTAGAGCTCAACTCTCTTCCCAGTCCTCATATCCTCCTCCTCAATTTCAAATGAATACTATTCCTCTCTTCTCGGGCCTAAGGAACAAAAGCAAGTAGTCATGATGGATTGTCGCTGAGCTCGAAACAGGGCTTTTGATATTTCAGATCTCCAATTTAGTCTCTGAAATGAACGGCCATGGAAACCACAGTTCTACGGAACATGCTACATTTTATTGACGAGGTGAGTGAAACGTTTAATCTCTTGATTTTATTGAATCTAAAAAGTCATCTTTAATTTTTTTCTTTTTAAATTAAGACATGTTTGGCTTGAGATGCAAATTTTATTTCTTAACAAGAGAGCAAAAAACTCATTTGATACCATATGCCGTTTTAGATTTCTCTATAGTACAACCCTGAAATTAAAAGAAGAAAAATCATCTGTATAAAGCTAAACTTTGCTTTGAGCATGCATAATCACGATTGTGTAGGTCAAATTAACTACGTTTTGGTTGTTCATATCACATTTAGTACAAAACATACCTCTGGAATTTACATCTGAACCGGTTGATATTCCTGTCTACTATTACACTCATTTACAATTTAATTTCCAAAGTCATTAGCTAAAAACAGTAATATAGTCAGCAATACAGTGCAAGCTCACCGATATTGGTACCTTTCACAATGTTTTATGACGTGGAAATGCCAAAATCTTATCTCTTTTCTTGTCCTCTGTCGTGTGTATTGAACTAATTTTGACTTATGAATGATCCAACGGCTTCAAACCCCCTATCAAATTTCTCAACTCCGCTTCGCCGTTTTAAGATCAAAACTACGTTTAACTTAATAAAAGGAACCAGACAAAATGGAAAATAATTGAGCATCAGGAAATGTCTATTTATTACTCTTCCAAATTAGATATTTAGGCTACCCCTAACGCTCTACTCTCCACTCCCAGAGAACGTTACATCGTCCTCATACTGGTTACTACCAGATGAACTGGATTCAAAGTCACCACTTTCCTGTTTATAAAGCTGACTGCCACTACGGATGTTATTTTTGGGAAAGCCTTGTTTGACATTGTCCTCCCGTCTACTTCCATCTGAGCTGGTCTCATTGTCATCAATTTCCTGCGCTGAATGCTGCCCGCTCCCAGAAATGTCACTTTCTGGAAAGACCTGTTTTACATCGCCTTCTTGAGTACTTTCGGGACTGTTGTACATCGATACATCATGTTGTTCTTCTGAATCCATCTCTTCGCCACTTCCAGAAGAAGACGTTACGTGTCCTTCCGTATTCTCGTGATAGTTTTCAAAATTCTCACCCGAAGTTGTTAGTTGGCTCTCGTGTGTTTTCGCGTGCTTTACTTCTTTATTACCTAACGGAAGCATTTCATCCCTCGGTTCGTGGCCACTTGAAATTTCATCATTCCCTGAAACTATCACAGGAACCTCTTCTTTTTGTTGACCATTTTCGGCTTCTAAATCCTCGTCTTCCTCTTTTTCTTCTTTCCATATTACGTCTTGACTTGATTCAGTCTCCTGAGCTGTTTGTCCGTCAGCCTGATTTTCTTCCGCCTTTTTTCGTTTACCA